CTGCCTCGTCTGAACCAGACTCCTCTTCTGCTTGTACTTGGCCTTGTTGAGGGTCATGAGGAAGTTCTTCTGTCTGGCCTTCTCCTTGTTTGTCGTACTCTTGCCCTCGGCATCCTTCTTGGACCGTCTGATGGCCTGGGTGCTCTTGTGCTCGCCGCGCTCGGGCTTACCCTCTTTGGCCAGGGCGACGCGCTCTTCCTTGGTCGTTTTGCGAAGGCGCGCGGGCGCCTCAATTTGCTCCGCCGTCAGACCGTCGTCGATGTGTCGTGCGAGCGCCTCCTCAAGCTTCTTGGACCTGTTGGACTTGGTGCCTATGGCCTTGTTGACGCTGGCCTCCATGCGCAGCTCCTGCAGCTTCTGGAGATCCGCCGGCGTCAGGATTGACGTTGTCGCAAGCTTGGATATCCTTTGCACCTCGCTCTCGACATCTTCGCCGTCCTTTTCGTCGTCGCCTTCCTTGTCGGCGTCTGCCTCCTCGTCATCGGCTGTGCTCTTTCTCCGCTTCTTCGGCGCAGGCTCGTCCTCCTCCTCCTCATCCGAGCTGACGGCGATCCAGCCGCCGGAATCGTCGCTGTCGACCGACTCGACATCCCAGTCATCCGAGTTAAAGCCGTCGTCCTCGTCCTCCTTCTCATCCTCGCCGACCTCCTCAGGCAGACCCTTGGCCGCGCGCTTGGCCTTCCTCTGCTCTTCCTTCCACTGCTCTAGTAGTTCGAGGCCCTCGATGCCGCCGGCCTCCTGCTCGCCGAAGCGCTTCTTCCTGACCTCGCCAGTCTTGAGACCGATCGTCGCGTCCTTGCCGCGGTCCTTCTTGGCCAGCAGGTCGGCGCCGACCTCACGGAACAGCGACAGCAGGCCCTTAGCAGCCATCATGGTGCCCTTGTCCTTGCTCTTGCGGTACTGCACGAGGTCCTGCAGCAGGGTGTCCTCCATTGCGAGGGGCTGGCGGGCGCAGATCTCCCGGATGGCGTTCAGGCCAGCGGCGGCGACCTCACCAGCAGCGGCCTCGGAAACGAACTCGTTGGCAATCTTCTGCACGAGGGGCTCCAGACAGTCGGGCGGCACGAGGTTGTGGGTGGCCTGGGCGAGGCAGGCGAGGAAGGACGTTACGGACTCCTGTTTGGGCGTGAGGTACTTGATGAACCACGAGTAGAGCGAGACAATGGTCAGCTTGTGCAGGCCGACGAGCGGGTGACCAGCTGCAGCACGAGGATCCTGTGCTCGAGGACCATCTTGGTCTTCGTGCTCTGGAGGTGCTTCTGGAAGACCTGCTCGGCAAAGCCCTGGGGGTCGTGGAGCAGGTGAAAGGCAGAGAAGTTGAGCGGGTGCGGCTTCTCCTTGCCACGCTCCTGCTTGTGGATCTTGGTGACAGCCTTGCGGTAGGCGTTGGCCTTCTTCTTGGACTTTTTGTTGATGTCGATCTGGTGCTTCATCTTTTGCAGGTCGATGGCCTCCTCGTCGCTGCTATCGTCCTCGAGCTCCTCGCGCTCCTTATCGCCGCCGAGGAAGAAGCGCACGGCGCCTACGACAACCTTCTCGTTGTCGGAGAGACAGGCCTCCTTCATAACATCGACAGTCTTAGCGTCGGTCCAGACCTGGCGCTTCCACAGCTCGCGCGTCAATTTGACGGCCCAGACGGCCTTGGGGGAGGCGCGGTTAGCAGTAATGAGGTTGTAGAGGACGGTCTGAATAGTGCGGTTGAGAGGGTGGTTCGTCGATTTTGAGTTTGCGTTGCGTAGGTCGCCGAGGATCTTTTGGAACAGCAGCGTTCGAAGGGACTTGCTCGGCGACGAGACGAGGATGGGGAAGAGCGTGGTTAGCAGCTGAGTCGAGTCGATGACCTCCTTTCTCCTTAGGAGTACGAGACTTCCCACAATCTTCTCGCCGCAGTTCAGGGTGTAGGACCTCGTGGTGCTGCAGCAGGATGGCCTTCAGATCACCGGGAAAGGCCTCGGCATGTTGAGGGTAGCAGTCGGCGACGTGTGCGATGAGATCGACAAGGTTGTGGAAGGACTCGGTGTACTCAGGGGTCGCGGTCGTGGGGGAGACGAGGAAGACCTCACGTTGACTCTCGTACTGGCCCCATTGCTGGAGGAAGTTGTCCTCGTACGAGTTGGGGTCGCGGCGGATCTTGTACTGGAGGCTCGCGCTGTGACGGTGAGGTTAGCGGGAGGGATGCTCGAACCCTGGGGATCGCAAGGACCGTGAGGTTGTCGACTTACAAGTCGGCGTCGACCTTCTCGAGAGCTGCGACCTTGCGTTTGCCCATTTTGAGAGTGAGCCGAGTATGTGTCGATGTGGTGTTGTGATGGTGTTGGCGGTGGCGGGGCTGGGAGACCAGCAGCGCTGAGCATGGGAAAGGCCGTCCAGGACGAGCCAACAGAAATTTTGGGCGAAAGTTCCTTATCAGTCCTTATCGACGATTCCCAGTGGGGCCCAAAGTGGGAAGTTTGGGGGGTCAAATGTTGGGGGTCCATACAGATAGGACATGGGGGGTTACTCTTTTTACGTAGCACCACGGGTTGAGCCTCGGTTTTCGATCGATTCATTTGTCAGAGGGACGGTTTGTTTCGCATCAATACGTAGAAAAGATACCAACGCGGGTATTGTTGCATCCAGCCTCTCCTTTCTGACCACATGAAGTTGTGTAGGTCGAGGGGAGAGTTGGGTGTCGTGTATTCATACGAAGAGCCTGTCCCTTACCTTCTGGCGCCAGGTTCGCCGTCCTCTGCGCCAGGTCTTCTGCACTTAACTGTCCCTTGGCAAGTTATGGGTCTTGGTCTCACCCAACAGAAAGCCAATCGTTCTTTAGTAGGCGAATGTTGGGCAATTTGCGAGCTGTAGGTCTCTGATCAAGTTTGAACCTAAGATAGGTAGACACAGGAGGACTCATCGCGGGACAACCATACTCGAAAAAGGCAATCCTGCCCATCCAAAGCCACGAGGGGAAGCATTACAATTGGTTTGAGTTATAAAGACCCCTCGGCAATTGGACGGGCCCTCTCCGGACTGTTCAGCGACAGGCTGTCGAGTGAAGTTTCTTTCACACTCCTTCACAAGCTCAAATGCGCTCGCAGCCCCTTTGGCAGGCCAGAGGTATCTTGTCGTCTTTGCAGTTGCTGCAAATCGCTCTCGAGTGTCCATGGATTCCTCTGGCCAATCATGCGGCCTCAATCCGCTTGCAGCCACCTCGATCGGGTACCCAGGTCCATCGGAGGGTACACTACCGGCTTAGATGCGATACGGTCATCAACGTGCTGACACATTGTATTGGTGCGCAATATGCAATGGTCGGGAAAGGCGGGATTCCCGCGTGCTGAAACGTCCACCCGATGATTCTAATTAATTAAGTGCCGCCATGGCTGGGGATGTTGGTCTCTAAACCTGGTATGAACGCGGGGTACATGGTTCGAGCCCCATGGCAGGGCACCATTGCAGGTCCTCAGATCTTGGTCGACCTCTGGATCGACGCGCTCTGGGCCAAGAAATACAACGGGAGAAGTGTTTGGACGAAGAAGTCGATGTCTCCTGACACTTCCATCCTTCTACCACCTCCCGAATGCGGCTGTCTGGACGCGCCAGATCAACCTCGAGCCTAGTAGCAGTCATGAGGCTTCGCTAGATGACATTTGGATTCGCATACTGGCAACACCCGCACTGGTTTGACGCCCTCTCATATATGTGCGGGCCCTTGTACTGCATATCCCAAGTCCCCAGTTAGGCTGTGCTCCCTTGTGACGGACCATACTCTTCCGCAAACCGACGAGCAGTCTTGGCAGCTTCCTCGAGTCACGCAGATAGGCATTTCCCTGTAGTCATGAAGAATTTGCATATAAATGGAAGGCTCTCCGCAGATTTTCTTGAGGCAAGGATCTTCACAAGCCAAGCGTACCCTAAGGGAAACCTCCATCTCGTCCGGCATCATGAAGCTCCTCGCAACTATCCTTGCAACTGCCGCAGTTGTCTCTGCCCATGGCTACGTTGACACTGCAATCATTGGTGGCCAGAACTACCAGTTCTACCAGGTCTGTCTAACACTGTATTCTGTTTCGTCTCAGGTGGACTGACTTTTGTTTCGTGTGCAGCCCTACCAGGACCCTTACATGAACCCCGCCGTAAGTCATCAGAGGCCATAAGAAACCTACACATCATCTAAGACAAGACTAGCCCGATCGTATCTCTCGTCGCGTGGAGGGAAACGGACCCATTGAAGATGTCAGTCTGATCGATCTTCAATGCGGTGGATGGACCGCAGGTGGCATCTCGGGCTCAGCACCCGCCAAGCTGCACGCTCCTGCTGCTGCTGGCTCTCAGGTCACCCTCAAGTGGACCCTGTGGCCTGACTCTCACGTCGGCCCAACTGTGACCTACATGGCGCGTTGCCCTGCTTCCGGATGTAACAACTGGCTTCCCGGCACGCAGTAAGTCGAGAAATCGTGTGCCCCTACGGGCATGTGCTGACGAGATAGGGCTGTGTGGTTCAAGGTGCATGAGCAGGGTCTGGTCAACGGTGTCTGGGGTGCTGTACGTGGCGTCCTCTCTCTTCTTTTGCTAGCCCATCACTAACATACATCGACAGGCCCCCTTGATGGTCAGCGGCAACAGTGGCTACAAGTTCAACATTCCCCAGTGCCTGGCACCTGGCTACTACCTTGTCCGCCACGAGCTCATCGCCTTGCACGCTGCCTTCTCCTACCCTGGAGCCCAGTTCTACCCCAGCTGCTTCCAGCTCCAGGTGTCGGGATCTGGCACTGCGAACCCCACTGGGCTTGTCAGCTTCCCCGGCGCGTACACCAAGACGGATCCCGGTGTTGTCTACAACTCGTACATCGGACGTGAGTATTTCCCATCAGAGTCCGTGCCAAGTCTCAATGCGTCTGCTGACAGCGGATCAGAAAAAACGTACCCCGTCCCTGGGCCCAAGGTCTTTACCTGTTAAGCGCATGGATGCCCTCGTTACAGAATGATGACGGGTCTGAACCCCTGGTTTGGAGGAGCTCAACTGGGTTTCCATGCAAGGGCGCCGAAAGGTGGAGTTATGGAGACGAGACTGGATATAGAGCGGGGAAAAGATATTCAGACCATATCCCTGTAGCTCCCAAGCATGGCCTGCATGCAATCATGTACACATGCTTTCCTCGTGCCAAAAATCTCAGTCTGTCTTACTCGTGATCATCTTTTTATGCGACCCACCTGAGCCCAAGAGCGCACTTTCAGTACACATGGCACCGCTTCTTCAAAACGGCAACGGACTGGGCAATCCACAACGATCATGTTCTTCGAGGAAGTAACAGTTTTTGCTTGTTCAGAATCTGGGTGTCAACAATGGATTGTGCAATTGATAAAGACTGATAGACCTGAACGAGGGAGTTGGACATGGTTGCTTTGTTCCATGTAGCTCACATATTGTTAATTGCTTTGGAAATGAATGTACGCGACAGACGGCATTGTTCTACGGTTCATGACCCTGGCCGAAGGTCTCTCAAGGAGAGATATCTGAGTTCACTAGTTGAACAATGAACTTTGTGATTGAATCTAACGACCACCGTTCTGTTCCTGGAAATCATTCACTGACAAGTTGTCAACATGCGCACAGTGAAAGTGTCCGAGGTCAGCACGTCGGCCAAGTTTGATATAAGACCATAGCAACAACCTTCTGCAAGCCACACTCTTCTATTGTAGCCACTCGCCATACCACATACATCAAGCATCCGCACCTGGCACATAGACCAAAAACTTGCCTGCAAAGACTATAGCTAGCTCACATTACACCACATCAAGACACCCATCCCAAGATTGAGATCATGCCGCAAGATAGTACCCGCAAGCAGCTCGACCCGCGTTCTGCGACGTTCACCCCTGGCCAGTCTATGAGCGCTACTCTTGACACCGTTCATGATGCGACCACGCATGGCGCAAATGTCGAAAAACTGACCAAGATTCAGGACGCCCCGGTTCCTGCTTACTATGTGCCCGGTTAAGTCGTCTACGTAACCGATCCCTATCTCTGCGTAGAGCGTGCCGATGGGCCCAGCCTCGAGCCTCTTTACAATGACATAATGCTGCCCAAGGACGGATCCGCTAAGCCTCCGGGTTCGAGCTGCACCAGCTCTGATCAAAAGCCCCAGATGCGTAGTGTCGACGCTTCTCTGGGTTCCCGTGAGAACAGTCACCTTGCAGCCTTTGTGTGCGCGGCAACTGGACCGGTCTCGAACCACTGTGACCCTAATTGGCCTTCGCAAAGCTACCAGCAGCACGTCAAACAACCCGAGGAACGGCCTGGTACTCCTGAAGGGGTGACCTTCGAGGATGACCATGTGTTCCTTCGTGGCTCTAACCTGGAGAACAGCGAGCACTAAGCGCAATGCCGCGGATGGATGGAAGCTCACGTGCCAGATGCGTGGCTGAGAACACATTCCCTACGTTTTTTCTTGCATCTTTGTTATGCGTGTTGTGTCTGAATCACTCATTTTACAGTTTTCCTTTGTCTTATGTTTGCCCTCGGGAATACGTCATGGCTTCGGCATAGGTAGATGGATGGATGGATGAACAGATAGGTAGATAGGTAGATAGATAGCACCAGAGGAAAAGGAAGAATAAAATCTGGTGCGCAAACATTCGAGGTCCTGAGCCAACGTGAAAGGAGTGATTGCCTCCCATGTTTGTCGTCCGGACCACATCCCACGGCGCCCCCACCACGGTGAGGTTGGCAAGACCAATGGATCCCAACATCACATTCCTCGGAAAGATGAATGTATGGGTAAATCTGGTTCCTGATTAATGATGCTCCTGACAGGGCACGCACTGACTCGGGCGTGCGTCGAGTGACACCCACGCACCCGGTCCTGGCTGGTGTTGACCCCCTGACGAACCTTAATTCGGCCACTCGGGGCTTCGCTTGCCCAGAAATGCTGCCACGCCTTCGGCCTTGTCCCGCGTGCCGAATGAATAGTAATAGAGGCTTCGCTCAAAATCGTCGTCGCGACCCAGATCATCGGCTGCATTCCGGTGAGCTCGGTGTTTCGGGGCAAAGTCACGCCATCTAGCTTGTGGAACCCCCCTCGGGCCCGGGGGACACAGTCCGGGGCAAGGCGGGACGGGAACACAAAGGAGCAAGGTTGCGTACCTCGGCAGATGGATTCTTTGGCCAGAGACAATGCAATCCGGCTCGAGCTGGCCAGGCGTTGGGCGACGGCCAGAACGTTGTCGAGCACTTGACCGTCGTCAAACAGCGCGGCCACGAGACCGGCGTCGAGGGCCTCGGCGGCTGGGATGGGTGCGCCCAAAAGGATCATCTTCATGGCCTGTCGTCGCGGTCAGGATCAGCAACGTGGCCGTGTCTGCCGATGCGCGCAACCAACGCGCGCAACCACAAAGCTTACTCTAAATTTACCCACGGCGTTCGTCAACCTCTGGGTACCCCCTGCACCGGGCAGCAGGCCGATTGTGACCTCCGGGAGCCCGAAGCGACTGCCGTGTGCAGCGAAAATGAGATCGCACTGTAGCAATCGGGATCCACATTAGCGCACCTTCTCAACCTCAGCGCAGCGCGCGTTTCAGACATCGTGGACATCGGTTCGTCCTTCCTCGTCTCTCTTTCCCCTTCTTCTTTTTCTTCTTCCCCTCTTCTCCCACGTCGTTCGAGGATCACGTCCCATCAATGCTAGTTCGAACCCACCGCCGAGCTGTCAGGGAATCACACCGCTCGTTAGCCTCATGTGCCTCTCTCCCCCCCCCCGCGCCCATGGATCAATACAGGATCAATAGATGCCCGCCGCCTGATCGTCACCTACCGCCATGCCCTCGACAGCGGCAATCAAGGGCTTGTGCACCCCACGCATCCCTGTGCAGAGATCCTCGAGATACCGCCGTTGACGCGCTTCTTCCGCACCGAGCGCAGAAATCTCTTTAATGTCCGCACCCGCTGATTGACATGTCAGCTGTGACAACGCAGTGGCGGGGCCAGATGGTGAGACATGACAATCTCCATGCCTGTCTGCCTGCCTGCCTGTTTGCCTGTTTGCCTTACCGCAGAAAAAGCTGCTGCTCCCTGTCACGATGATGACACGGACGCTATCGTCTGCCGATGCCGCCCTAAGATGGCCAACGAACACGTCAATCAGCTCTTGCGACAGCGCATTGCGCTTGGACGGACGATTCAGCGCCAGCACCCTGACGCCCCCCGCCGGCGTCGACGCGAGGACGACCGCCGGCGTCGTGGCCGGCTGAGGTGAGCTGATGGCGACGCCCTCCGTCATGGTCGTGGAACGTGCGGCGATGGGAAATGAGGAAGGGAAGGAAGAGAAAGAAAGAAAAGCTGAGTCGAAAGGGCAACAAGGCGGGAAGTCAAGAAAAAGCAAGCAAGCCGGGCTGGATTCCCAAACGTCAATCTTCAGCTGAGAAGGGCGAATGAATGGTGCTGGAACCATCACCCGGGGAACAGGATCCGGGCGACAACGTCCCTCAAATACCCCCAAAGTTCCCCCATTCAAGGGAGCTGATCACGCTGGCTGATTGATCGATAGCTCTCCCATCTTCTGGCCCGTTCAGAATGGATCAGCAGTTGGAATTGGGCCGCGACGAACCCCACGTGTAACCACACGTGTGGACACTGCGACACGAGGGTTGAAGACAGCAGTTCTTCTTGAGCCAGCGTCGCGGAATCAACGCTGCTGCGGATACGGCGTCTTTCTGGTGTTCAGTTTCCGTTGGGAGTCGATAAATCTGCTCGTCGTGGCGCGGCGTGCGACCTCATGCACGACGTCGGAGTTACATCCGGTGCCCGAGGCAGCCGTCGCGTCCTGTTCAGGCAAAACATCAGCGATGATCATCCGCTCGCCATCTTGGTACGACGTTCCGAAGCTGTGCCGCCCCTCCTCCCCGCTTCCCGGCGGAGGAAAAAAAAAAGGAGGACAGGGTGAACAAAGGGTGCTTGTTGGTGGACGACCGTGCTGGCCATCATCTCATGATCTGTGCGGATGGCGACCCGGGCCAGACGCTGATAGCTCCCTCGAAACTCGAAGCTGGATTGGGCCGATTCGGCCAGTCTTCGCATTCCTCCACCCCCCGGCAGTCATTAAACCTGTCACGAGTTGGTTGCACCGTTGCCTTGACGCGTAGCGGCAATTGCGTCCAAAGGGACGCGGAGTGACCCATCCGAGGCGCTTCTCCAAGTCACCCGCAACCTTGCTGGGCTCTTCTCAGATCCTGCAGCCTCTCTTAGTTTCGCCGAAATGCCCAGCGCCGCTGCGATGCGGGATGCTAGCTTCTCTGCCTGCCCGAACCCACGCTCGCTCGCACGTCGGCAGTGCCCCTGCAGGAGGCATCCCTCACGACGATCATCGAGTCGCGGGGTAATCGCACCACTCGCGGCTATCCGGGGCGCTCGTAGATTGACCGTCTCCCACCGTCGCCGAGCTGACGAGCAATGACCGCCGCATCACCACCTTCTTCGCAACATGCAGTGCTGTTGGTAAGCCATCTGTCAGCCCACGACCGCAGACGCTTTCGTGCAGACAAATGTCGCGAGTACCACGACCTGTCTGATTCAGGTCAACCCGTGCCGCCCCAACTGGACGACAATGACATTCCCAACATCCGTCATGGCTCCTTCCCTTTTGAGGGTGACAGCGAATAGCCCGCCGATGGACAGGGCCATCAAGTCTTACCTCCTCCCACCCGGGAGGGACCGCAGAGCAACGCCGGGATCTTTCCGGTGCTGATCCCCGCCAGATCTGTTCGTCCTGTCTTGGACCCTTTCCACTCCCTGCCAACTTCAGACCAACTTTTCAGCAGCCCGTGGCCGCCGTTGGGCAGGCCCTTTCCTGACCAGTCGTTCGTCGACACGCGTGGCCGCACCAGCGCTCCTCAACGGACCGTTTGAGGTGTCAGACCTTCCGCTAGGCTGACGACGCTACCTCGCCAACCACGACCTATTTGCTCATCAGGACAGAGATATCATCCCTCGCGTGTCGAACGAGCATGCATCAATCAGAAGCGGCAGGGGTCGCGACCAATGATGACGGTCGACAGCCTTTCTATCTTTCAAGAACAGTTCGTTGATACATGCCTCGAACCCTAGCTCATCTGTACCCTCAACGCACCATCACATCACTGCATCGCCGATGTGGACTCCAAGGAGCAGGTCACCGAGACCCTGACCAAGCTGTCTGCAGAGGAGGCGGACCGCGTTAATCACGCACGGAGCTGTTGTCGATGCGACCTCATCGACCAAGCAGGGCCAAGGGATGCCGTCTCCGCGCACTCCATTCCTCGATCCGGAAGACCCTTCGTTGACTCAACAGCGGCCGTCAGACGGTCCGTCCCATCAAGGAAGGTATGGGGATTCACTGAGGTCTCCGAGGGATGCGACGGACTCAGCGTAGTCGATACGAATACTTAAGCGGCCTCGTGGTGGATGGAGAGGAATTGACTTTTGATGCTCTCTCAAATGAACAACATCTGCTCTTCATCACCTACTCCGGTATCTAGCACCATCTGCCATAGTCTCGATGACGAAAGGTCCTCAACGAGAGATGTCGTTGTCCAAGCAGGTCGATTGCTCGCGAGACCAACATTATGGAGAGGGATCGTTCTCACGGATGTCTACAGGCAGAGTCTGTACGTCACACAAGTATCCGAAACCGCGCCACGGTTCTCAAAAATCAACGCAGGCTTTTTTTCGATAACGACGCCTTCAACCTGACGATGTCACGGCGCGTGATCCACTCGCCCAGTCCGAACGTCAGCTTACGTTTCGAGATCTGTCTCAGTGCAGCGCGCGACTTACGACATCAGCTCCGCCAGCTTGGAGTCGGTCCAGGCGATCGGGTGCCCCTGGTCGTCAAAAGGGGTGTTGATATGCTGGTCGGCATCATGTCAATCCTTACGTGTGGCGCCCATTCACGTGCCCCTCGACGGTGGCGTCGTGCCAGACTCGACCCTGCATTTCGTTCTAGAACAAACTGGTGGACGCACTGTCTTGGTCCTCCGGTCCACCCAGCACCGCCTGGCTGGGTCCGGTGTCAGCAACGTCATCGCCATTGACGGGAACGACGCTCCGGAGGCGGACGACTATGAAAAGTCCACAACGCCACAAGACCTGGCCACGTCTGACTCTGGATGCTATGTCATCTATACCTCAGGTATGTCTTCGCCCCTTTCGCTTACGGAAAATTATCTGACAGATCTAGGCACAACGGGAACGCCCAAGGGAGTGGACGTTACTCACCGGAATGTCACAAATCTAGTGTGCCTGTCACCAGGAGGACTGGACATTGGGTCCGGCACACGCGTTGGTCAGATCCTGAACATCAGCTTCGATATGGGTACGTAGCGGTGCTTCCATCCCGTAGCAGCCTTGACTAACCCCACCTTTACAGCTGCTTGGGAGATGCTCGGTTGTCTCTGTAACGGTGGTACTCTGATCCTGCGCGGTTCGAATTGGGTGCAAGCCCTCCAACAAGTGAGTGACGTCGACGGAGAGGGGTGAGCGTAGCTGACCAGGATTTAGATGGACGTTCTTATCTGCACGCCCAGCATACTCGCCAAGTATGATCCCCGCGACTACCCAAGTATCCGGGTTGTCGCTACTGCAGGGGAGCCGAGTTCTCAAAGGTATGCTCGATATTCCATCTCCATGTCTCGCTTATCATGCTGATCTTCCCGAAGGCTGGCCGACACGTGGGCGACGCATGGCCGATATTACAACTGCTGCGGCCCGACCGAGACCACCATCGTTAACACGATGCATGCACACGTCCCCGGGCAGCCTCTTTCGATCGGCAGACCCACGCCCAATAACAATGTCTACCTGCTCGACGAGGATGGCACCCCTGTCGGGGTCGGCGAGGCGGGTATCATGTGGGCGGGTGGCCTTGGCGTCTCGCGCGGCTACGTCAAGTTGCCGGAGAAGACGGCCGAGAAGTATAAGCGCGACCCCTTTGTGAACGACGGGTGAGTCTATCTGGTGGTCGACTAAGTGACATTGCTGACTTGACGGCAGGTCCATGATGTACAACACTGGGGATCTCTGCCGCTGGGCGGCCGACGGATCGGTGGATATCCTGGGCCGCGTGGATGACCAGGTCAAGATCAAGGTAAGACACGTTGTCTGCGCTTCACTTCACCCAGTCGACTCGGTCATCTGACTCTCTCTTAGGGCTTCCGTGTCGAGCTTGACGGCGTGACGTCGTCCATGAACACGTTCTGCGAGGTCGACAGAGCGGCCGCTCTTCTGATCGACGAAGAGATCCATGGCTTCGTGACGCCCAAACACTGCAACCTTGATGCACTGAAGGAACACATCAAGGGTCGTCAACCCTACTACGCCATTCCTAGCAAATTCCACCGTCTTGCAACTCTCCCTCTGACTCCCAACGGCAAGATTGACAAGAAGGCTCTGCGGTCCTTCGCTATCACGCCTGAAGACGACGCATCCACCATATGTGAGAGCGCCTCAGGCAAGTCCATCCGCTCCAAGGTCACCGCAGTGGAGAAGGCGAGGTCCATTTCGTCCACGTCGAGTGTCACAGAAGTCAACTCGGTCTTGTCGGCCTCCGACATCCCAGTCCCAGACGAAAAGGGCCACCTGGACGAAGACGTGCCCTCCAAGACGCACCGCAAGCCATTCCGCAACCTGCGCAACCGCCTGCTCATCGTCTACCGCCGCCTATTCACGCTTGTTGGTCTTTTCAATATTGCTGCCGTTATTGCGCTTGTGTTGGTAGGGCCAACGCAAGAATGGATCGGTATCATCACATCCATCAACCTCGCCACCGCCGTTCTTGTCCGCCAAGAATTCGTCATCAACGCCCTTTACACAATCACCTGCAACGTGCCGAAATCGTGGCCGCTGTGTATCAGATCTCGGTGTGCCAAGATCTACCACCTCGGTGGAGTCCACTCAGGAGCCGCTGTGTGTGCAGGCTTGTGGCTTCTTGCTGCCAACATCAGCGACACGGTGTGTATGTTCTCTCAATGTTCTGGCTGGGGCAGGCAGTCACTGGCCACCAAGATCATCTCATGGATGCTGTCTGCTCTGTTCATGGTCATGTTTGTCCTGGCATACCCCTCCATCAGGAAGACATACCACAACCTCTTCGAAAAGACGCACCGCTTCGTTGGATGGACCATGCTTGGCCTCTTCTGGGCACAGATTGTTCTGAAAACCAATGATGATAAGGCCACCGACCTGTCGCTTGGCGATGCTTGTGTCCGGTCGCCTGCCTTCTGGCTGCTCACCGTCGCGACCTTGAGCATTGCATCATCCTGGTTCTTTCTCCGCAAGGTCCCAGTCGATGCCGAAGTCTTGTCAAATCACGCCATCCGCCTGCACTTTGACTACACAGTGCCCGTCAACGGCTCGTTCACACGCATCTCCCATCGACCTCTTCTCGAATGGCACTCCTTTGCCACCATTCCCGCCCCGGAGCCCGTCGATGGTCGACCCAAGGGCTACTCTCTCGTCGTCTCCAACGCTGGCGATTGGACGCGAGCTTGTATTGAGAAGCCTCCAACGCACATGTGGGTGCGCGGTGTCCCCACTTGCGGCGTCATGCGCATCGCGACGCTCTTCAACCGCGTCGTGGTCATCGCCACAGGATCCGGGATCGGTCCTGTGCTTGGTCACATCCAGAATCCTTCGTGCGCCACGCAACTCATCTGGTCTACGAAAGAGCCTGAGAAGACCTTTGGCGAAGGTCTTTTGCACACAATCAAGGGCAAGATCCCCGATGCTGTCATCCACGACACCAAAAAGCTCGGCCGCCCCGACCTCGTCAAGATGGGCTACAACCTGGCCAAAAGCTTCGATGCTGAGGCTGTGATCATCATCGCCAACGAGAAGATCACCAAGAAGGTCGTGTATGGCCTCGAAAACGCGGGGCGTGCCGGCCTATGGCGCCATCTGGGACAGCTGAGCATGTCAGAGCCGGCCGTGGGCTCTGGTTTTTCGAACTTTTTCTTTTCTACATATTTCTTCTGGGTTGTTTCTTTTGGTTGCAACTAGTTACATTTCCGAGAATTCCCCTTTGTTTTAAGTCAGTCGTCGAGGGACGAGATTGCTGAAGACGCTCTAATTTCTTTCTTTGTTTCCGGGTGGCGTTAAATGGAACAGGTTTAGGAGGCGTTCAGGACTATCGGGGCTTTAGTATGGCCGACACAAACACAACACTCTCTACATTTCTTATCTTAGTCGTAATTCACTACATTCAAACATGTTCGTTGTCGTCTGCAATTCCTGGGGTCAACTATCGAGTCTCGCAACGAGTACGACGAATTGTGTTTGGCGGCAATTTGCAGCAGGTCGACAGGCGTTGACATTGACAGTACTCGTCGTCTTGGTTACATGGATTTGGGGTCACACCAAGTGGGATAGCTCCTGCCATGGCTTCGAGGTCGCCTGCAGTGACTTTGACGGTGCGACCACCTTTGAGCCGTTGCGCAGCCTGCGCTGTCGTCGGAACCAGAGTGGCAAGTGACCGTAAGCCTCGCCCAGCCGTCTCTCCGAGTTTTGAGCCTTCAAGGACTTTCATACGCTCCTAGAGACGAGGGGTACAATCCACGGCACAGCGAGACGAAAGCAACATGGCGGGCTGGGCAAGCCACGCGGATGCCAGCACATCGGATCCTTTCACGAGGCATAATCTGCTCCGGAGTGCGTTTTCTGTAGCTGTACGTCCATCAGCACGCCGGTCTCCTCGTCACAGCCACCAGCATCACCAGGCTGAAGGATTTTCAGCACGTCGCGCCACATCGCACAACGGAAGCGGGCGAGAAGGCAGGAGCCGTTCGTCGCCCACTGAGGATGAGGAACATGGCACTGGGGTCGCGAGACGTGCGGCTGACGGAGCTATCACGACGCCCCCTTCCGTCTATCACGTCGCACACGTGTGTCAACGTCATGGGGTATGAAGAAGAAGGGCGGAGGGACCGTTCTCGTCCTGCACCTTGCGTGGTCGTGTGTGTGTGTGTGTGTGTGTGTGAGGTCTGCCGTTCGCGGGGTCGGGTCCCGGTGCGGTAGTCGGCACTGCCTTGGCGTGTTACGTTGGTGGGGAAAGGGCGGTCGGCCGGGCGGCAGTGCTACCTGCCCGTTGATCCTCAACTACCTTGTATCGACGCGGCGGCGTCTTGAAGACAGTCAGTGTATTTCTATATTTCGAAACGACCTCGTCAGTCGCGGTAGGCTATCAGGCGGTAAAGGCTCATGCAGCATGAAAATCCGTTCCATGCGCAGAATGGCGGTGGTCATGAGAGCGCAGACGCGACGCAGCAGCAGGAGTGGGCGGTGCCGGACAGGCTGAGGACGATCGGCGCAGGATGACGCGACGGAAATATACCGGCAGGCGGGCGTGCAGCGGATGTGGATGGAGGAATGAGGCTCCTGCACTGCATCAGCATGAGCATCAGCATCAACAGCCGCAGCAGCGTCAGCCGCAGGGTTGGGACGGTGCGACGGTGATCGGAAGCCCTCGTCGCGCGAGCAATGCAACACAAAAGATGAACGTGCAACGACTGAAGTCGCATGTACGGTTGCCGGTTGCAGTCCGAGGACCAGGAGCCGCGACCCTGCCCCCTCGCAGATATCATGCAGCGTCGCGGCTGCCTACGTTCGTGCCTGCCTGCCTGCCTGCGCGTCCATGTACATGAGGTGCGGCGCCAGTAGCAGCAGCAGCAGCAGCAGCAGCAACAACAGCAACAGGAAGGCGAGGAGGAGGCTGAGCTGCATGGGGCGTGCGCTAACGCACGTGCCGTCTGGTGCCTGTAGGCTGTTATTGGATATTAAAAACGGCGGGTCCCAGCTCATTTCCCGCCAATTTTAGACGGCAGTGACGACCCAGGGGTTGGCGCATCCTTGGCGTGACGGGGGAAACAATCAATGGATCGTGATTTGCCTGCGTCGCCAGACCAGAGTAGATGGTTCCCCCCATTGGAGTCTCAGTACCTTGGTAGTGCGGCCCCAGCCTTGGGTGCAGATCCATTGAAGGATGCAAGTGTTCGACAGTGACTTGCGGTGAAGATGAAAGATGACGGGGGGCCGGTGGGAAACGTCGCGGTGGTAGGGAGGAAGGAAGCAGGAATGCAGTGCCGGCATGGCAGGCGTCATGCCAATGTCAATGTCCATGTCCAACGCTCGAAGCCGGCGCGTGCCACACGACTGAAGCTCGGTCACGTGCACATTGGAGAATCCACCGTTTGCCAGCGCGACAGGCGTATCGGAGAGATGATGATGATGACGATGATGCCACAACAGGCTTGGGCAGCGTTGGCGGTTGTGTCGTTCATCTCGGAGGGCTTCACTGCAATTGCGAACCGTGGCCTCGACAAGACATGATCTTAGTCTGATATGCCAAGTTCTTCTGCCCGCCCCATAGGTCTGCAGAGCTAGTGCTGCCAGAAAGACTGCCAATTCCTTGTTCCCGTCTGCTTCGATCCCACAAAGTGTCTTGTGCTGCCCAGTTTCCCAAGCACAGGTGACTGCCGTGGCCTCGGTACGTACGTCACAAGGCCACCACTCACCGTCACGTCAATTGCGCGGCATTGCCTGTTTCTCGATTCCGCCAGCGCGCAGTCGATCCTGCATGCCGTACGGCCAAAACGGAGAGATGGGGCTGTGGTTCCCTCTTCCTTTGTAATTCTCTCTGCACACCATAATCTCGTCAGCCCAGTCGAGCCACCCGGTAGGTTGCAAGGGGAGGGGAGGTCCCAATTCAAGCCTTTCCCGCCCTGACCAACCGTCGTCTGCCCATTGACTGTGGCCTCAAAAAAAGGCCCCCACCAGGCAGCCACCCCGAGATAGCGGCCAAGGGGGAAGGGGGCACGGGCGCACAGACACGTCTCTGGCCTCGACACGAAAATGATGGAGGTGAAACCGCGACTTACCCCCTCCCCTAGCTGCTCAGTGACCCAAGTCTCTTGGTACCAAACGGCTGAGTCTGGATCTCGCTCACCCGTGACCGTTTTGTCGTAGACCGTACCAGGTTGGAGGTCGTGGGCCGTGGCTCAGCGACGAAGAGGAAGGGGAATACATGTAGAAAGAAGAGCGGGTACGTCCCATTACGTCCTTCCCTCACCCTTCTCCCGTTTTTCCCCCCTCCACCCCCCCCCCCTACCCACGCATAGGAACCTTCCTTAGCGTGACTGGACTTGGGTCGCAGTACCAGGGGCCGGGAGTAAAGGAGCAAGCACCTCAACTCTTTTTTCTTTGGCTTTTGCAGGTACGTGCCACGAGAGAGCATGGACCCAGAATGCCCATCTCGCCTTCCTTGCTACCCTCGCGTTGGCCAGCACCTACCCAGGAACTAGTCCCAGGCAGAAACGAATCGATTGTATAAAGTGGAATGGGCATTTCCTCGAGGGGCGTTTCACAGCAGTGCCCATCTTGTTTGTTGGCTCCCCCCAGTCTCACCTCACTCGCCCTAGTGTCCCTTTTGTAAGGAGGTACCGACCGACCCTTCCTGACCTGCTTAGGTACCTGACCCTTCCTGAGGTACCCTTGCCTTACCTTGCACCTCGTCTTGGCTCGCCTTGGCCTGCCTTGCCTCGCCTTTCCCTTTTTGACCTGCCGCCCCCTTTTGATTAACGACTTCCCTTTCCTCTCTCAACCTCCAACGCGCGCGCGCGCCAACTCGCCTTCGCGTCAACCTCACTTTCAACTTCGACCTTGCCATCCGCCTCCACCCCCCGCTTCTTTCTTCCTACTGCCAAGGGCGACAAGAACGACGACAGCCGCCGCCGCACGCTGCGGCCGCCGCCATTATTGCTATCGCCCTTACTGACGCCCATCGTCGCGGGAAACGTCATTCGCGCAAACAATCGCCCTCATCTCATGCGTCGCTCATGATGTTCTCGGCACGGCCCTGTCTGTCGCTGCCATCGGCGATCTGGACCTCGCTGACCCAACACATTCCGCCACGGTTTCGTCGCCTCTTCACCATCAGCCTTCTCATCACCATTGGTCTTGTCACACACATTCTCCCTGCACACGAGACCGCACGCCCATCCACCATGCGCCCTACGAGGTCCCCCAGCTCCATAGGCGTCGTCCACGGTAGCATCGTCGAGGGCTCCCCGCCGAGCCTCTACCCATTGGAGCCGTTTCCGGATTCGCCCATGATCGATGCCGTCGACGACGATCGCCCGCCGCGGCCCTGGCTCGCCGTTGTCATTTGCGCCGCCGAGGAAATGGAGCGCCGCATGATCATACGCTCATCCTGGATGCGCATGTACGGCGACCTGCCCGTCGATACGCGCTTCGTCGTCTCCAACCCCGGACCCGACTGGACTGCCGCCGTCTCGAGTGAGAATCAGACGTTCGGCGACATGATTGTGCTCGACCATCTCCAGGAGGACGACGTGACCGCCAACACGGTCAAGACGCTCGCCCTCTACCAGTGGCTCATCGACCACAACCACCAGTACGAGTTTGTCTCCAAGATGGACACGGACCTCTTTTTCAACGCCCGCGGCTTCTGGGACCGCTTCCTCGAGCCGCGTCTGACCAACAGCACTGGCCGCTACGTCTCCACCGTCGAGCGCACCGTCATCGGCGAGCTCTACTATTCGCATTCGTGGGACCTCGCTTTCCCCCACGGCGCCATGTACACCATGACCTGGGACATGGTCGAGCTGCTCGCCGGGGCTTTCAGCGCCGCTTTCACGTCGTCACAGGCGAGGACATGGCCGTCGCCATGCTCCCTGCTCAAGGGTCGCGAGAGGGCCAATTTTTGTCAACTTTCGAGGGACGGAAAAGTTTGACTACCTCGAACGAAGACGCGCGCGGGCGACGGCACCGCCTGGGCCCGATGCGTCCACGCACCCGAGGCGACGGAACACGCATTGTCGGCCCCGCACCCATTGCCGTCCACCAGCTCAAGGACAAGGCGCTCTGGTTCAAAGTGGCCGATCTTTTCGACGTCAACGGCGTCAAGCCCATGCTCACCGCCCACCGTGTCCGACCCCTGGCCATCATTATGGATGCGCTGGCACGACTTTTGGTACGCCGTGGGCGTCAAAGGCCTCTGGTCGTCACGCCACAGTCGCATCCCGGATTTCTTCTGGTCTTACGAGGACGGATCCTGGATCTGCGACGGCATCTGGAACCTCGGCGCCACCAAGACGGGATACGTCAAGGCGGCCACTACGACGGTGCTCTCGTGGGAGGAGGAGAGCGAGCTGGTTGGACTGGCATAATTCGGCTGCCTGGAATCAAGAGGTCCCACAGGATTGATTGGCTTGTTTTGAGCTATTGGAGTGGAAACCACCAAACCCCCTTAGAGAAGCGATGCATGCGCGGCTGCCCGCCGGTTAGGCAGTCAACTAATACCCCCGCCCCCCATCTTTTGTTCTTTCTTTTTTTACTTGGTGGGTATCATATACAGTTCATTTGTCGGCGGAACTCTTCTTGTCAGATTAGGTAGAAATCTGGAGGTGGAGAAAAGGTGTCATTGGATGGAGAGCAGCATATCCCATGCCTAGCTATAGCTACAGCTACATTGGACACGGAGTCTGGTCAGGCGTTTGTTCTTGTCGGGGCTCATAGACAGGTTCCACCACACACGGGCCTGCATCCGACGGGCGAGATGAATTGACGATACCTCTTTGTTTTTCTTGCTTTCCCCTGGATTCCTTAAATGGCTGCCTGGTGATACATGACAAGTTCTGGAAGCTAAAGAGAGAGAAAAGTGATGAGGTGGCCTGTGGGGCCCAGAGAGTTCGGACGGCTCCGACATGAATCGGAGTAGCGGGCGATCGTATCGACTACGCAGCTCACGCCCCCCTTCAGCTCCTCCTTTTTTTTTCTTTTGTCGCTTGTCGCACAGGCGAAGATGGTGGCAACGGCAGACACGCCCCTCCGGAGCAAACCAGACAGCCCCAGCCCTGCCCGCGCCCTCCAGTGGATTGTGGTGGGTGGGTGGGTGACCGCCGCCCGGCTTGGCGAGGTGGTTCGGCAGCTCGTGGGGAGGGAGGGAGGGCGTGTAGGGGCAGGGAGTTCCCCAATCCCCCTCTCCCCGCGGCGGCGACCGGAGTCCGTGGCCGTGTCGGTCGGCCGCTCGTTGAGCCGCCTTTTTACCTTTCCCTTGCGACGTTCGAAGAATGCGATCAGTAATATCGCCTCGGAAGCCCATGGTACGGAAATGCCTCAATCGACTCACTTTGCTCGAGGGCATTGAGTTGGCTGCCTGATCGCCCGGCCTCATGCCCTTCGAGATGCTCTCAGCCCCCCTTTGATGCACTCATGCCATCGCTGGTGCATGCGTTATGCGGTGTGCACCTCGGCGCACCAGCACCAGCACCAGCAGCCATCGCTCGGGAAGGGGCCTCATTGTTTGGCGATTCCCTGGCCTCGAATCTGCTGAGACGAGGTGAAGGCAGACGTGTCTTGTGCCTTTCACTGCAAGCCAAGCGTCTTCGCTGTCCTCCGCCCCGGGCGAAAGCGGCACGGCGTATGCGCCACGCGACGTCTTGGCCTGGGACGGATTGATCGATTGACGGGATGCATGCCATGCGATATGTATTTGGGGGGTGTCGTGATAGAACGTGAAGAGGGCGTGCATTGCGCATCGAGAAGCCGACCCGGCTCTCCATCGCCGGTTCCCACCCGGCGACCACGCGAATAGGAGCATCTCCTTTTTCTTCGAACGCAGACATGGTTCGACTCGGCGGTGCACAGGCACGCACTATCTACCAAGCGGGCACCAGAGGGAGTTTGGGGAGTTGGCCGCTCTGGTATGGTGACGGGGTACAGAAATGGCTGCCTGGCAGGCAGATCGAACCCTATTTTGTGGTTTGTTTTTTTCCAATGTCGCTTTCCTTTCTGCTCCCCCTACCTCGCATTCTCCCTCGCGTGTGCTGCACTGACCCGTTGACAGGGACTCTGGAATCGCGGAGCCTTTCTGACTGGTGGGTTGCTCCGTCGCGCTATTGACATGGAGGACCGCGTCTTCTCGAATGAATGTTCGCGGGCTACGGAGTCCCGGACGCTGCCGCAACCACAGAGCCCTGTCAAGGGTAAGCAAAAGGCAACATGTGTCTGCCTTGAGACCGTTAGCGCCCGTTTGGCCACAGTTCTGAACGGGACTCTGGTTCGGGTTTGGATCATCATCGATTTGACGCCCCTGGTCGCTTTGCTCGGTTCACGTTGTTTGGCCTCGTTGATCTCGACGTTACCTGTGTCAGGCGGGCTGGAATGGAAGTGGTCTCGAACACTGTGCGTGCGTGCGGGACGGATGATGTTCATGACATTGGCGTATCAACGTTATGGTCCCAGAAAAGAGCTCGTTCCAAGGGAAGAAGAGTTCATCCTGTCAAACGGATCGACGTCCGTGGCGACCCGTGATGTCTGGGTTGGCGTGATTACAGTCAGATGAGAAAGCAATGGCAGCCACTGCCACCCTCATACCAAGCCGGTCTTAAAATCGAGGACTGAAGACGAATGTCATGTGTAGTTAGCCTGTCTTTGCATGTTCCACTCAATCACCTGGCTACGACGATTTCATCCTCACCTCGGGTTCAACTCCGACTTGACTCATGAGCTTCGGTCTTACAGCTGTGATGACGAAAAGAATGAGCAAACCACTCCCTGGGACTCGTCATGAACATGAGTGAGTGATGCGACTTTGGCACACGACGAGGATGACAGGCTGCTTGAGTGCCGTCCGAATATGTCATTGATCTACTTTGGTCGACTATCAGCATGCATGTTTGAACCAGAGCTGCTCTTGTTCACAGATACATCGAAGTCCAAACCGGATATACAATGATAGAAGAAATCGAGAAGTGCTAGATCATGCTGGACTGCTACTACCGAACATAAAAACCCGAGCCTTGAAGGTTGCTCGCCCGAGTCAGTCCTCTCGAGTCCAAACACGCATTCTGGGGGCGCCGACACCCTCCAAGGGCGCCAAGGTGACAACATGACACATTCTACAACTCGACATAAGAAGCTCTGGCCACAAGACCTTGCGACATTGGTTGCGAATCGATATTACATCAATCATGGACTAGATCGGGCCGCATTACATACTTCATCCCTAAGTGAAAGTGCATCACGCGTGAACAACTCAGACTTATGTATGTTTGTTTTTTTAGTATACACGCTCAAGAGGTATATGGCTCCATGACAACAGCCAGAGAAGAAGGCACAAAGCCGGGGGGCTTACTATCGCTACATGAATATGCCGATGTGAGGCCGGTGATCTCACCATATGTCAGCGTCTCTCCTATACACACCATAGTTGAGATAACCAAGGATACTAGTCGAGTTCTGGCAATATGTTCATTTGGTTATCCCTTTGAGTCCGAGGACAACCTCAGGTACAACGGCGCGTACTGGGCGCTCCAGATATAGTAGCAGAATTCAGCTTCCAGACCAGTTGTATGATATCACTTGATCGAACTACATGGTAGGTATATCAGATAAGAATCTTTGAGTAGACGGTTGAGCCGGCTCCTTGGCTTCGAAAAGCCTAAGATCGTTCTCGGGGCTAGAGGGGTGTCAGACTGCGTCCCCCCTTGACAGGTCGAGAGACCATCGAGACGAGGGCACTTACATCCACGCTGTAACTTGCAGGCTGCTCCAACTTTCAAAGGAATTTGGTCTGCGTCACACAGAGTGAATGTAATATCTAATTGATAAATGCAGCTGCCAACATAGAATAAGTGTTGGCATCCTCCGCCTTTCACAGTCAGGGCCTGATAAAAATCGCTTGAACGGGCCCTCCGTCCTCCGACAAAGCTGTAAACAAGTTGTCCACCACAGGTTACCATTCCATGATGTCCACTACCACTACCTCCGCCGATACACCCATATGCGGCTCTATGCCCGCATGCTCTGTATCATCAAATTGTCCGCACATTGTCATCACCTCCATCGTTCGAATCCAGCACGTCAATGGCTGGATGGCATTCACTAGCATTCACACGCGACGCTTACCTTTCGTTCCTGCACAAAATTCAGCAAGAGATTCCGGGATACAATGGCCAGGCACCAATCCCAAGAAGAGAGTGCCAGTCTGTGCCCTTTGCTTCTCCATCAGAGTCGGTCAAAGGGACTACTGTGCAAGGTGCGCAAGGTTGCTGGCTGCTCGCGACGCGGACAAAGGATGGTGAAATAATGCGGGGGAAAAGGCATGAAAACAAAGCCATGGTTCATTGAAACACACAAAGTGTGCCAGTGAACTGTTGAGGTTCATCCTTTGAAACAGCTCGTTGCAGCTATCCTCGATCTTTCATCAAAGGGAAAGGAGGTGACGTAACTAGGGGTAGAATAATTCAGTCGAAAAAATTCAGTCAAGAAACCCAACGGGAGCACATTGAGATTCCATCATTATACTGGCCTAACCTTGACCATCATGTCCACGGGCCTAAGGTTGAACCACCCATCTTGCTTCAACTCATAGTTCGGGTCCACCAGTGCGAAATTGACCCCACGGATGAGCTTCGTCAGAGCAACCATGTTCCACTGCCATGCGTAGTGTTTGCCAATACATTCGCGCTTTCCGTTCCCGAACCACTTCTTGACGCTCACGGGCAGATTGTCGAATGTCTCACCCATCATCCTCTCGGGGACGAAGGCTAGGGGGTCTTGGAAGACTGCCGGGTCGCGGTTCACGCCGGCCAGGACAATGATCATTGGCTGATTGTGAGCAACCTGGTATTTGCCTTGGCCTAGGACCACAGGACTGGTGTCATTCTCCCTGGGGATCGGCTCAATGTTGAAACCTGGTGCGGCGAATGATAGACGCAGTGATTCTCTCATGATGCCTTCGATGTAGTGAAGTTGCGACAGGTGCGCGTAGGTGAGTTCACCACCGGCCAGCACGAACTCAATCTCTTTACGTGCCGTGACGATGACGTGCGGGTTCTTGAGGAGAAAGTAGATGGCAGTCGAAACGAGGGCAGGTGCTGTGCTGCTGCCGATCGGCATGGATACGATGTTGTCGATGACCTGCGATTCTCGGAGACTCTGGCTTGTCTGGGGGTCCTTGCCATTCATGAGAACGGAGAGAAGGTCGTTTCGGCCGTCCAGAGAGGGGTGCGCTTTGCGATGGTCGACCATTTCCTGGGCATACGTTCGCATGACCTTGATGGACTTTTTGAATTTGCCCTTGAGAAACCAGTTGACGAGGCCGGGTCTGGTGGGCCGCTTCATGGCTTCCGAGGTGGAATCTTCCATTCCTTTGATCATGGGGTGTTCAGGGCCGTCGAGGCAATTGAGCTTTTTGCCGTACAGAGTGAGCGATGTCGCCTCGAGGTTGAGACGGTTGAGCTCGCCGATTAGGGACACCTCGTTATCCTCTCCCAGAACCCTCCACTTGTCGATGAGCTCCGTGGCCGTGTCACGCATCTCTTCAAAACGATCAGCCATTGACTGGGGAGTCAGCTTTGGCGCAATGATGCGGTGGGCAATCCCCCAACTCTCCTCGTGGTCGTAGGCTGTGAAAAGCGCGTCATGGACGGCAGCACGTATCTCGACGACGGGCCCGCCAACATACTTGCGGAAGCGCTTCTCGTCGCAGAGCTCTTCAGCCAGAGCGGCACTGGCCACGAAAACAATGCCGTGGCCGAGCACCTTGATTTGGAAGATTTCGCCGTATTCCTCTGAGAGCTTCTTGAGCGAGTCCCATGTGTTGCTCGGATTGACGTTGAACAAGTTACCCAGAAGAGGCACTCCAGGGGGGCGGGGGATTGGCTGGCTCATGGTACCGATGTGTCAATCTTGAAGTGAGGAGAGCATTTCTACGAGAAGGCCACCGGTAGAAGGGCCCCTTATATTTCGCCCAGCATCGCACCGCGGCATTGGAGTGTCCAATGAAGGAGGCGTGACGTCTCACACCTTTGACCTACACCACATCATGCTGTCTCACACACCAACGCATCTTGCAGCGGGGGTCAGCCAGCCATCAACGAGCCTGGCGTGTGAATTTGCATTGCAGGGAAAACCATTGGTCCTTAGAGCTTGAATTAGTCGGCCATTGAAAAAGAAACGAGCTGGGCCGTTCTGTGTCCTCTGAGTTAGCTTGATGTAAACACTTACACTCCGTGCCTACCACCCAGTACGATGTTTCGCGTCCGTCAAGTGTTTGAATCGACCAGCGAGATTGATCACTCACAGGGTCCCTCTCATTACCATGAAGGAGGAATTGTACTGAGAAATCACTGGCTAAACAGGGGAGAAGTGCTGGTCGATAGTGCGAGCTAGCCTGATGTGTGGCCGTCGATCACCTCGCGTAGTAAAACAATGTGTCGGGCACGCACACTCACTGTGAACACGGGCCGCGCCGCCGTGGCATGGGTTTATAATGCAGATCCCACGAACACGACTCTTCCAGACAGAGGCATAAATGAGCTGCCAATCTCTGATTCAATTCCAGTCGGTATGGAACCTAGGCATCTTATTATAGCGGATGGGCGGAGAGGTGCCTGCCTGGATACTTGCCAAAGACTTCCAGTGCGAGTTCATTACGAGAAACGTTGTGAAGCCGTAGAGTATAGTTGCAACGAAAATTGTTCGAAAAGCTCGTTGGCATAATATCTCCGAGGCACGAGATAACATCAATGCCCGAGGCTGAAGAATTCAGAGAGACAAGGTCATGAACTTGGCTCCTTGAGCCGAGGAAACTTCTCTGCAATTCAGCGACGAATATCATTGACAGGTGTGAGTTGATACCACAGCCGTGGTCTTCAGGACTCGATATGCCTTCCTGCTCCTTCCTCGGGCGTCGTTGACTTTCCATTCAACCACGCACAACTGCAGGCCTTCATCGTTGTGACTATTGTTAGCCGCCCGAGTGAATTTTAGAAGGAGCCTGAAAGGGTCATGATATTCTGTCTTCTGCCTCTTTCTAATTGTGGCAAGCACGCAACCCCGACCCCTTGATCTCTTTTCGTTTCGACTTGTCAACTCCATCACGCTTACCTGCCTGGCAAGCCACTTCACTTTACCGAAGCATCTAACAAGATATATTGAAACCTTCTATGTAGTCGTCGAACTGAAGAAGGCCCATCACAATGTCGACCTCAAGCAGCGTACCTCATCGACACGCGGGTTTACAGCTAGTCTACATGGCCACTCCTCGCACCGATACAGCGGACAATGTAGGCAAGGTCACCGATATCAATTCAGGTACTCTCAACAAATCCATAGCACCTCGGCGAACGGCGACGAATCCGGCAACAAATCCAGGGAATACGGACCTCGATACCCTCTCATCCCGTACAGATCACATCATGTCCCAACTTCAAGGGAACCGCAATACTAGCCGCATGGGGCGTATCAAGCATTGTAACAAGTGCAAGCACCTCTATCCTATCGAACACTTTCAGTTTTTAGATAACTTTGGTCGCTTGAAGGAGCGGGTGAATTGCCAAACGTGCCGCACAAAGCGTCGTGCCTCCGACAGAGCGCGATTGGCCCGCGAGAAGGAGGCTCAATGGACCGAACAGCAGCAGCGACGTCAAGACCTGGGACGGCTTTTTCGCGGCAGCGTTCCCTCAACAACCTTGCCCAATCAAACTGTCTCGATTCAAGGCTGTCTTGTTGCTGATAAACCTCAGACTCAAGCACCGCCTACCGAGCCAGGCTTCAACACGATAGCACTCCGAGACCTGATGCCTGCTGGCTGGGAGAAAGTCGCCGTGCACAGCCACCAGCCTATATCCACTCGATGCAACTCACAGAAACCCCAAGTTGCGTCTTCGACTCACTGTCATGCACCCACACATGTTGATCCTCGCCGTCTAGTCAGCACGCCAGGCGGGATGGGGAACATGAAGACCATTTACAAGGCGTCCCTGCCTCAAGCCGCACCAAACACCATTCAACCTACCTTTGAGCCCAACAAGTTCATGGGATTGTCTGGGAAAGCGCCGGGGCTTCAGGTCGGTTCGGGTCAGGTTGGGTTCGGCCCAACCCCATCACCCGGATCTGCAGAAGATGACACAACTTGCCCAGTCGCCATGCCGTTCTCCTCGAGCTCTTCAGACCCTGTCGGCTTCTCGTTCCCTTCCCCCGTGGATCCTGCTGCTGGTTTGCATGCCACTGCACCGTTGGACTTTGGAAAGCTTCTTCTGGGGGATGGCCCACCTACTGCAGACTTTGATAACATGGATATGGTGTGTAGCCGCAGGTTTTCGTAGCTTGGATAAATGATTGACCATTATGCACAGGACTGGCTGCATGAAGCCCAAACAGCGCACACAGACTTTATGGAGTTCCTCAACGTCGATAGCAACGACCCGACAGGCTGTCCGATGCAGACAGAACGCGAACCCGACGAGTTGTTGCAACTGAACCTTGAGGACCCCGCTGAACCGTGTATTCCGCAGTTGCCCGGGCAGTCCCAGGAGACGTCAATCGACCAAAGAACTTCTATTGCAGCGGCTTGTCTTGCGCCTGAGCAGACCAAACAGATCAGTGATGGTCGTGCAGAGGCCTACCCTGACGGCAACAAGCATGTCCACTCTCTTCCCGCCGTATCTGCAACCCAGCTGGCTAGTATGACCCCTTTAGAGAAGCAGACTCTAGAGAGATGGGAGACTGGCCTGCAAAAGTGCTCGCAGCTTCGTGCTCTGGACGCGTCAACGCTCGAATGCCTCTGGCTAGAGCGCTGGAATGCCGCCCAGGCTGGCACTGAGGTCCGCCCGCACACGGCGGAAACACCCAAGGATCTGTGGCAGATCCCGATCAATACTGCGCTTGTATATCCAGAGAGCCACATAAGCATCACTTAAGTTCTGCAGTCGAGCAAAGTTAGCGATGGCAGTTGGAGGAAGGGGGGGTTCATGCCTCGTTGGAGGGAGCATGATTCTGCAAGTTGCTTCTCCAAGCTTGGGTTCGACCTCAAGCCGACAAAGAAAGCAGCACATTTTTGCACATTCGGTTCATGAAGGACTGGCAGATGGCTTGTGTCAACTGGGGTTCTTGATGTCCAGAGGGGGTTGAACGGGGGCGGGGGTCCGGCGCGTCCTCTCTAGCTAACGGCTGAGCCTACTCCGAAAGCGTTGGCTACCAATTTTTTAACTTAAGAACCTGCTCTTCATTCTCGACTCTCGATTATACATGGCTGGTCATGTGGTCACAGGAACCAACGCGATGTACGTCGTTGTTTAGGCTTGCCCTGTCTCCACTGCGTCCAACTCAACTTTTGTTAAGCAGTGCTGGACACCCCAGACAATCGCGATAACATCACGTGATGAGTGATTTCCCTTGATGTCTGCCAACAGCCTCCCCGATCAAGTATAAACCATGCCGCTATCTACTAACCACGTTTCTCTCTCATCGTATTTCCACCAGGACGGTCCAGATGCCACATGCCATGACGTCACGACATCTGACGCAAGTTTCCTGGCAACATTGCAGTCCGCGCCAGCCAGTCACTGCAGCGCGACGGCGCCTCTGGACCTGTCAGTTTCCCAACGGACCACATCCACGCATGCCGGTCGCCCAGGCTAGCTGTGCTTCTAGCCAGTCCAGACCTCTGCAAGTGCAGACCGCGTGCAGGCACGCGTTCAGCTAGCCAGGGCCAGGGCCTGGAGCCAACTGTGCGCGCCGCGCGAGAACCTGATTGTCAGGGTAGCTTCCACCCTCCCCCCCCACCTCTAAAAATGTGTGAGGGTTTAGTTTTCGGCGTGGAGGAGGCACATTCACCGCTGCTGTTGATAAGACCATGGGGGATCGATCGGATGTTCTGGCGGACGCCATTGATGAGGGGCTACGGTGACTTTTGTGATATAAGATGTAGGGTCATCCTGTGAGCCCCATCACACCTGTAGCTTGTGTGTTTGCTCTTCGACCTGTTCCTCCTTCCCCCGCCCTTCTCTTCTTGATAATTGGTGACGAGACAAGAGCCGCCGAGTAGCGACCGACCGACAAGATGGGCGACCAAGAACCCACCCCCGAGAACATGACCATGATGCAGGGCTTCGAATGGTACGTGCCCGCCGACCAGAAGCATTGGGTGCGTCTGGAGAAGCATGTGCCGCAGCTCAAGGCATGGGGCATCGACAACATCTGGGTGCCTCCGGGGTGAGCTCACATCCTAATGGTGTTTCCGACAGCAAGACACAAGACCTGACAGCTGCCAGATGCAAGGGATCCTCCAAGGAGGGCAACGGATACGACATTTACGACCTCTACGATCTCGGCGAGTTCGACCAGAAGGGTTCCGTTGGCACGAAATGGGGCACCAAGGAGGAGCTCCTGAAGCTCGCCAGCACAGCCAAGGAGAACGGCGTCGGCCTCTACTGGGACGCGGTGCTGAACCACAAGTTCGCTGCCGACCGCAAGGAGAAGTGTCTCGCGGCCGAGGTCGACGCCAACGACCGCAACAAGTTCGTGTCGGACAAGTACGAGATCCAGGCGTGGGTCGGCTACGACTTTCCCGGGCGCAAGGACAAGTACAGCAAGATGAAGTACCATTGGTACCACTTCAGCGGCGTCGACTTCAACGCCGCCAACGACAAGACGGCCATCTACAAGATCATGGGCGACAAGTCGCAGGGGTGGGCCGACACGCCGGACGTGGACGACGAGAAGGGCAACTAGTAGGTCCTTTCCCCAGCACGCCTCGACACGCGGCGCCGACGCAGCGGCTGACCGAACACCACGTGTACAGTGATTTCCTCATGGGCTCCGATCTCGACTACGACCACCCCGAAGTCGTCGAGGACGTCATCAACTGGGGCAAGTGGCTGGCAAAGGAGATGCCCCTCAAGGGCATCCGCTTCGACGCCATCAAACATTACAGCACAGACTTCCTGCGCAAGTTCATCACGACGCTCGACGAGGAGTTTGGCCAGGGGTGGTTCTTCGTGGGCGAGTTCTGGAAGGACAGCCTCGACGACATGACCGACTACCTGGCGCGCATGGGCAAAAAGTTCTCCCTGTTCGACGCCCCGCTCGTCTACAACTTTAGCCAGATCAGCAAGTCCGAGGGCGCCGACCTGCGCAAGGTCTTTGACGACACGCTCGTGCAGAAGGAGCCCGTCAACGCAGTGGTAAGCGCGCCGTCCCCTCCCCGATAGGGAAGCCTGTGAAAACCCAAGACCCGGCAAGGTGCTGACCACCCCCACAAAAAGACGCTGGTCATGAACCACGACACGCAGCCCTACCAGGCCCTCGAGGCCCCCATCGAAGGCTGGTTCAAGCCGCTCGCGCACGCCTTCATCCTCCTCCGCAGCGAGGGCTACCCCTGCGTCTGGTACGGCGACCTCTACGGCATCAAGGGCGAGCACCCCTTCCCGCCCTCGTGCGGCGGCATCGTCCCGCGCCTGACCCTCGCCCGCAAGCTCTACGCCTACGGCAAGCAGGCCGACTACTGGGACTTTGCCACGTGCGTCGGCTGGGTGCGCTACGGCACCTGGGACCGCCCCGCCGGCTGCGCCGTCGTGCTCAGCAACGCCGGCGCCGGCGAGAAGAGGATGCACGTCGGCGAGGTCCACGCCGGCGAGGTGTGGACCGACGTCCTCGGCTGGAGCGACCGCGAGGTCGTTATTGGCGACGACGGCTTTGGCGTCTTTGTCTGCGGTCAGACGTCCGTCAGCGTCTTTGTGAACCGCGAGGCCGAGGGAAGAGACAAGTTTGGCGGCGAATTGTGAGTCTCCCGCCCTTACGATGCCTGATTATGTTGGTTTCAAAGAGCCAAGCTGACCATGCCGCAGTGATACCAACATCTATGAAGAGTAGATAGACTAGGGGTGGTGTAGACCCAGTGGGCAGACATGCACCTTATGATAAACACGTGATCAGGAACATCACGTAGTCACACATAGCTGTCAACTGTAACTAAATCTACGCATCTTGACACTACTACATGTTCACAAAATGACGCGTCACCGACCATCGGTTTCGTTTAGACAAGTCTTATGTATGGGATCGAGTTGTGTTCCCACTATCTAATACACCGCGACATGCCAGCCGCAACCCGCTTCCCTGTGCGCAAAGAAAATAGACGGTCACATCGTCAATCATGTCGCCCATATCCGGCGATTCCCCCATCA